ACCAGTCGTGCCCTTGGGTATGTGCTGATGTGGCAGGATCCCTCCCTCCCAGCTCTCCCCTCCCAGGGCACAGGGAAGCACCAGACACCCTCTGCCCTGAGCTGTGGAGGGCTCAGGGGCATCTGCATCTTGGGCTTTGGCATGGCAAAACAGGCACAGCATCCCTGGCCTACCGACACCATGGGGGACCCTGGCTTGGGGTTGACCCTGTGCAAAGGGCCAGATTCGAGGAGGGTGTGCGAAGTGGCAGCGACCCCTCCCTCGAGCTGGAGCACTGGTTTCCACATAGGACTGCAGAGTGGGAGGAGGAGTAGGGTGGCTCTGATGTGAGAACATCCCATCTCTTCCCAGGAGACATCACCAATGAGCTGGTGAGGCACTTCCTCATCGAGACCAGCCCGCGGGGTGTGAAACTAAAAGGATGCCCCAACGAGCCCAATTTTGGTGAGTGCCCCCAGCGTGCTTCCCACATGTGGGGTTGGGTTGGGAGAGCCTTGCCTTTGCTGGACTGTCAAAGCAGACAATCTGGGAGAGCCCCCACCTCTGTTACTGCCTCTTGTCTCTGCATAACTGAGTCCTGTGGGCATTTGGAGCCTCTGGCGTCATGCACACTCATGAGTGCACACAAATGTGCGTATATGCACTGGTACGTACCTTCCTGCACACACGTGTAGGACAAATGGTGCTGCTGGGCAGGGTGGAGGGCAGGGGCTCCCCTTGTTCCAGTTATCCCATGGCTAATGTGCTCTGAGGCGCTGCACGAGGACCTCTGCCCCATTCGTTGTTCCTAAGGTGGCCCTGGCATCTTTGCCCCCTCCCTGAGCCCTCCGTGGGCACGGTGGTTTCAGCAAGAGGAAATGCCACGTGTGGCATTAGGACCACAGTGAAGAAACCCACCAAAAAGCCTGTTCCCATCCACCTGGAGCAACAATGACCTAACACCGGGGAAACCCGTGTCCCCAGCCCTGTGCTGACCATCTCCCCTCTCTCCCCAGGTTGCCTCTCAGCTCTGGTGTACCAGCACTCCATCATGCCCTTGGCCCTGCCCTGCAAGCTGGTCATACCTGACCGAGGTAAGAGCCAGGGCCAGAAGGGAGTGCATCTGCCCCCACAGCCTGCCTGGGACAGGATAGGTTTCCAAGCAGGGAGCAGCAATAACACTCCGTATCTTCTAGATCCCATGGAGGAAAAGAAAGACACCGTGTCGGCCACCAACTCGGCCACAGACCTCCTCAAACAGGGTGCGGGTGAGTAGAGAGGGGCTGCCGTGGGGTGAATGTGGCCCGAAGTAGTGGCTGACCCCATGCCTGCCGTCTCCCTTTCCAGCCTGCAACGTCCTCTTCATCAATTCGGTGGAGATGGAGTCACTGACGGGCCCCCAGGCCATTGCGAAGGCCGTTGCCGAGACGCTGGTGGCCGACCCCACACCCACCGCTACCATCGTCCACTTCAAAGTCTCTGCACAAGGCATCACTTTAACTGACAACCAGAGGAAGTAAGAGCCCCCATGGCCACGTCCCTGGGTCCCCAAAGCCAATGGGGCTGTGATCCAGGGAGCGTGTTGGTGAAGGACATCCCTGGGGTGGCGTGAGCCTGGTCATGGGCAGGGCTGGGCTTTGTCCTGGACTGCTGGAGCATCCTAGAGACCTATGGGAGTGTCCTCCATGCTGGTGGGGCTGGGCTGTGATGGGGCAGAGGTGGGAGCTCCCTGGCCCTGACACTCCCTGCCTTGTGTTTCAGATTGTTCTTCCGACGACACTACCCCCTCAACACTGTCACCTTTTGCGACCTGGACCCCCAGGAACGAAAGTGAGTGCCCTAACCTGGGGGAAGCACATGTCCCCTGACCCTTTCCCTGCCCCAGGCTCCTGGGCTGCTTGGAGCAGGGTCTTTGCTTGCTCTGTCCCTCTTGCTCCTGCAGAAGGCAGGGATGGAGGGTCCCCTTGGATACCGTGGGGCAACACCAGCTTCTCCTGGTGACTCCTTGGTGTCTCCAAGCATCTTCATGCTGGGGGAGAGGCACATCAGGTTTTTTTCCATAGAGCCAAACCTGTGCAAAGCCAGGCTGGCCTTCCAGCATTGGTGCGGTGGCCCCCATCACAGCCCTGTCTCTCTATGGGTTGCAGGAGGCACCATCTCTCACACCTCCTCTTCTCTTTGCAGGTGGACTAAAACTGATGGCAGCGGCCCGGCCAAGTAAGTACTTTCTGTGCTCGATTCCTCCCAGCTGCTGTCAGGGTGGCTCCTGCTTGAGTTTGAGCATTGGCTGGGAGATGCAGCATTGGCTGCCCTCATGCAGGGCAGCATGAGATGGGCTCAGCTGCTCGCTGCAGGAACATTTCATCCGGGCAGGAGACCATGGTCCCGGGGACTCAGGAAGCATCTTTCAGCCCCAGATTCCTGGTCAGAGCAGGCATGGTCCTTGCTGAACTGGCCTTACTGGAAAATCTCCCAGTGGAGTCAGCGGGAGACAGGTCATGGAGCAGAGCCGGGGGTTATGCTGATGGCGTGTGAGCCACTGGCTGGCTCTTCCCTTTCCTCCTCTCCTCCCCATCCTGACCCACGGGAGCACAGAGCTGCCGGCTGAGCCCATTTCCAGGGGCCGATTCCCACTAATTTTAGCCATTGTGTTAGCAAAGGGGTTTTTATTAGGATGTCCAGCTGCTGGGATATTTCCCCTCTCCTATTAGAAATGCCACGGCCTGGGCCTGTCTCACATTCTGTTCCCCTGTATTTATAACTTGAGTTTGCATGTTCTAATTAAAAAAAAAAAAAAAGGACATTTTATTCATCGGGGAGAGACAGACAGAAATAACTGCATGGTGTCACCCAACTCCCTGTGTCCCCACATGGCCTTCCTCTCATACAGGGTCTACCCCAATGGCCAGCCCATCACACCTCTGTGGTTTCAAGAATCATCACCCAAACTAAGGCAATGCTGTGATCATCTGGAAGGTCCCTTCTTGGGGACGGTCTAGGGGAGGGTGGCAGGGATGGTCAGTGCAAAGGGGGTTTGGCCAAGAGAAGATGGAAATGCAGTGCTGGCCTTCAAAGAAACTGCAGCAAAGGGAAGAGTAGATGGGTCTTCATGCAGGCTGGTTTGGGATGTCTCCCTCTGTGTTGTGCAAGGTGGATGTTAAAGAGGGGAAGGTGGACAAGACCATGCTGGAACAGGGTGGTGGTGTTCCTTGGGTGAGCAATGCTGGCAAACCTCGCTGAACCTCTTGCCTTCTCCCCACCCAGGCTCTTCGGCTTCGTGGCCAGGAAGCAAGGGAGCACCACAGACAACATCTGCCACCTCTTTGCCGAGCTGGACCCTGACCAACCGGCTGCAGCCATCGTCAACTTTGTCTCCAGGGTCATGCTTGGCTCTGGCCAGAAAAGATGAGCCAGCACTTGCGGGTGATTCTTGAATTTTGGAGAAGGACTTGGAGCTGATCCGAGAAGGAGTGTGAGGAAGTGCATTGTGGGTTAGGGAAGTGAATCGGGGGGGGAAAAGGGTTGGAATTTTGGAGGAAAACAGCAAACAACAAAAAAAACCCCAACGAAACCCCTATAAACTCAACACAAGCCAAACACACACATAGAGGAACCAAAACCACGCACCTACATAAGACAGCCACAAAGTCACGCCGGACAGGATGCATGTCCCAGCGCAGGGAAGGTGACCAAAGCGAAGGCAGCAGCGAGAGGCGTGTTCCCAGCTTTCGGCATCACGGTCCCGAGCGGTGACATCCACTTGGGGCCAAACGGGGGACCATGACTGGTGTTTTCCATCTGGAAAAAAAAGAGACAACCATCAAAACCCATGGAAGAAGCTCCATCCCAGCAGCTCCATTGGTGAATGCTGCGTGTTTGAAATGACCCGTAGAAGATAACAATGTGGGCTGGGTCTGCGGGACACCGGAGGAGATGCCCTTGGAAACCTTCCCTTGCCCAGCTGCAGCGGAGGGCCCCCGCGCTTCTCCCAAAACCTGCTGGCCACCTGGCGACTTGCTGGGGGCGCGGGGGGGCTTTGTCTCGAGCCCTCCCGTCCCCAGGGAGCTCGGCCGTGGGCTGACATCCGTTGCTGACCCAGAGCCCAGCGCTGGTCACAGGTGAGCTGCTGTGAGTCCACCTGGAGAGGGGGGTCACGGCATTTCCCCACCTCCCCGGGGGTGCTTGTGACCCCAGCCCATGGGCAGGTGTGGGGGGCTCCTGCCGTCCTGCACCTGGGGAAGGCAGATGTTCCCTGGGAACCTCCCGGGAGGATGTGGAAAGTCGCATCCTCTCCCGTCTTCCCCTTTTCCCTCCCATCACTAGTCTTGTTTGGCAATTTTCTCCTGCGGCCTGTTACATGTTCTCTTAACACAAAAAAACAAAACAGGAAAGAAAAACATTGTAATAATAATAATAATTATAATAATAGCGGATGCTGGCACAGGTGGGTTCCCTGTGCGAAGCAGCAGACCCGTGGCTACCCCTATCTCGCTCTTCAGAGACGCGCAAGCGGTTTTTAAATTGCATGGACGTTCAAGTTGCACGAAAGGCGAATGACTACAAGTAACTCAGGCGCTTTTTTCTCCTTTTATTTTGGAGGCCACGTTAAAAAAAAGAAAAAGAAGGAAGAAAATTAAAAAAAATAAATAAAAAAGGAAAGGGCCTGCAGTCACTGGGCAACTTTGGCTCGGTGGGGAGGTAACAGGTCCTCCGAGAGCCACCCTGCTCGGCACGTGTGTACCCCCAAAACCAGCTGGCTGGAGGCTCACGATCCCCGAATGCACCGTAGTTTTGCAGTGCCTTCAGTGCCATCGGCTTTTCCCTTTGCTTCGGGAAGTGAGGAGGGCCAGCTGGGGGGCAAGAGGGGCAAGGGGCCCCCGTGCCGCTGCGGCGGGGGGGGATTGTGGTTGGAGGGCAGCAGGTGGAGGTCTCAGCCCCGTTGTGCCGGGGAGGGCAGAGGATGCTTCGGTCACACGTGCAGGTTTGGGGTGGGGGGAACAGTCATTGCTGAGTCCTCTGCTGCAAATATCCCCCTGAGAGTCTTCTGGGAGAAGTTTTCAGTGCAAAGTGGCCCAGATAGTTTATTGGGGGCAAAAATTAGAAACATAGCACTGCAGCCCCCCCAGAAAGCTCACCTCCCTTGGACCACCTTTGCCGTGATATCTATAATATATATACGAGCTATACTGACGAAATACTGTAAGCTAACAGAATTTTAAGGAGGAAAAAAAGGTTAAATTTACACTCCGAAAATATTTATTTTTGCCATATTGTGCACGTTAAAAGAAAATCCAGAGCAAGGAAAAATACGGATGGGGGAAGAGGCATGGGGGTCCCCCTGTGTTGGGGCGGCGTGCGTGTGACCGGTGTGCCTGTGTGTGTGTGTGTGTGCGCGCGTGGGGGGGAGCGAGCGGCGTGGGCGCCCGGAGGGGGCTGGCACGGCCGGAGGCTGTACTGATGTACTGAAGTGAGAGTGAAAGGATGCGTAGCGAGGAGTTGGTTGCGAGACGGTGGCGGGACGGGGGGCTCCGGGGGGGCTTTCCCCCTCCGCGGCTCCCTGGCCGCACGGATGCGGAGATCTTTTCATTTTTGATGTTTCCAAAAAGCGATTCCCTCCTTCTGCGAAATTCAAGCGAGACGAGAGACGATCTCACCCGTAATCTCCTCACCCTGCCATTCACCGATTAGAGAAAACACTGTGTTTATAGATATATAAAGATATATTTTTGAAAGTCTCTATTTTTCAGACTTGGTTTTCTCACTGCTAAGGAAAGAGATTATAATGATGTAATTTTATTTTAATCTGCTGCCTCGGAAACCGGTGCTTGAAACGCCCATTCCTCTTTTTCTCCCCGTACAAATGAAGCAGATCTAAGCACCCCAGAGATGTCACGTAGAAGCCGATCCCAGCAGATACCTGCCGATAGCATCACGCCTGCTTTGGGCCCTGAGCTGCTCACAGCCTCCCCACTAACCCACTAGCTGAAGATTTAGACCGTATCCAAATCTCGAACACTAACAAAATCGTCCGATTATTATATTATTTTTTTTAACACAGAGCTAATCACCTTCCAATGATGTAGCCGGGTGTTTGTCAGCTCCCTTTAAAGGCACTTTTTTTTCCCTTTTATCTCCTTTTTTAAGTTACATTTTTAGGTGTAACTACCCTTTCTGTCCCCGGGAGAGATCGTCAGCCGACGTTGAGGATCACCCAGCTCCTGGGGCTGGAAGGGACCTAGTGTTGATATTTTTTCCTTACGAAAGGGACAGAAAAGACTCTTTGGTTTTTTTCTTTGGTTTTTAAATGCAGTCATGGTATTTGAGATTCAAGCTTGCGCGAGTTAAGCCCAGCTTATGTTTCGTTGTAATCACACTGCCGTTGTCAGCAGCCGGATGGTATCTCTCTCTCTCACACAAACACACACACAAACACATCCCTCCTTCCTGCACAAAGAACTGCATATATTCTTGCCAAAGATATTCTTAAAAACGCACTGTTCCCCACATATATATATATTTTTTTTTGTGTGTGTGTGTGTGTGTAAATTTATTGTATGTGCCCTTTTTGTGTCGGTTTGTTCTTCGGAGAAGCCCCTTCCCACTCATCCTCCCTTTTCTGTCGATGTTGCTGTCTGTTGGGAAATGCTCCCTGGGGGGGGGTGTCGTTTGCTGCCTGTCCCAAATGGCAGCGCCTGCAATGTGCAAAATGTGGGGTTCCTGTTCAACAGGGCTGCCTCTGGGTCTGGGCCGCACCCCCCTCCCCCGGGAGATGGCTTCG